TTAAAACAACTGAAGTTTTTACGGTAGATTTGAAATAAAACAGTACTTTTTTAAAAAAAGCAGATTATCTCAAATTTTTTTCTAATAAAAGCAATAGTTTTTGTGGTAAATTCTGCAAAAAGTGGTACTTTTATTGGAGATTTTTGACAAAATCTGTAGTTTTTGCAAGAGAATTTTGAAAAAACTTTGGACTTTACCTTAATTAGTACGCTTTGCATGGCCAGATTTGAATATTCACAGGAATAACATATACTTCGAATTTGTGTATCCCTACCCAATTTTGCATATTATTTGATGTTTTGGGTTCGTATAGTAGAAAATGAATTTTGTAGACAATAATGCATAATGGGTAAGAGTAATGCAAGAAAAAGGTTTTAAATATAGCTAATAAATAGGTAATACTCTGATAATTCTCATCTAACACTACCTTGTTGTTACAATGTAATTTTCATTTTATAATCAGTCAATATTCTACATGAGCATTGAATGGTAACAATACCTTATTATGAACACCTATGTATTTATTAACGTAATTCTCTCTAATTTGCGTGATAATTTTTTTAGTTGTTTGTTAGCTAAGAATTAATAGAGTATTACCTATTTATTGTCAATATTTTCCCATTGACTTATTTCACTTGGGCCCTCATTGATAAAAACAATAAAATGCCCCAAAGCATCTCGAAACTGAACAAATATTACGCTAATAAAATAAGGGGTCGGGAAAGGGCTAAAACCATGAGACTCAAGTCAAACAAGAGGAAATCTATGAAAATTCAATATTAAGATTTAAGAAATCCAAAAATTGTGCATTGCTTTCTTGTTAACTCATATAGGCAATCAAGTCGTAAACAAGGTAGAAAGTGTGTGTGTGAAAAATGTACAAATAACTCTGAGTCTGATTACCACCATGTTTCTGACAATGTTTGTTCAGTTAGGCAAACTGGGGGATATAACCCAACAAAATCACAGCCATGCAACTATAATGGAAGAGATAGGCATCCATCATATTGGGTGAGATGTTTTCAATCCCCCTCCCCCTAAAATACCTCAGGCCAATGGTAGCCTTCTCTGCAATTGCTGCGGTTAACCGCAGCTCAAGTCCCAGAGTGAAATGGCTCCGACAGTGCTGCGGTTAACTGCAGCCTTCTCGCAGCGTGCTGCGGCAGCGCTGCGGCAGCCTAATTTGCATGCTGCGGGAGCGCTGGGGCAGCGCTGCAGCAGCCTAATTTGCATGCTGCGGGAGCGCTGCGGCAGCCTAATTTGCATGATAAATTCCAATGTGCTGCCGCAGCGCTGCGGCAGCATGCTGCGGGAGCGCTGCGGCAGCAGGCTGCGGGAGTGCTGCGGCAGCGCTGCGGCAGCAGGCTGCGGGAGCCAGTAAATTTCCGTCACTGGGTCCTTTTCACAGGCCTGTCAACTTGGGAATACCTAACATGAGTGACTTGGAAATGTTGAACACCTCCCCTCAAAATGTGGACACCTTGGTCCAAATCTGAACACCTTGATCCAAATTTTGAACACCTTGGTTTAAATTTTATTACATCTTGCCAAATTTTCAACACCTCAAATTTTTCGCGCTCGCTACGCTCGCATTTCAAACATCGATTAGCGGGGGGGGGAGGTACGAAAAATTTCGAACGGAATGCGTGACATATACATAATTCGCGTGATAAGTCCGAACGAAATGCGTACATTTTTTTCCGGCGTTCGTATTTTTGCTGTGTAGACGATCTTTTTTAGAAATTTTTCTATAGAAATATTTTTGCTTGACAATTACCAGGTAAAATGCGTATTTGCGTGACATTTTCTGTCACGCAAAAATAACTGGCGTGACTTCAAATTCTTCAGCAAATGCGTGACAAATACGCAAATTGCGGGACAGTTGACAGGCCTGTTTTCACACAATTCTTAAGTAATGTTATACCAAAATAGTCCGAAATGAATAAAGGAAATGCTCAAATTAAGAGTTTTGTTTTCACATTTTACAAACTTGCGATCTTGAAGGTCATGTCAAGGTCGTGAACTTTTGCTTCTTTTTATTAACATTTCTCCTTATTCTGAAGACTTTTAGATGAAAAACCTCGATCTATCATTAGACAATTATCTTGATATATAACATTAGATCGATAATGGTTTCTAGTGGAAATAATAAAAATAATCGTGAAAAACAATCGTTTCAATTTGTGGGGAACCACAGGGGATTTCTGCAATATTGTATGTTTTGATCTTCCATTTCGATTGCGGCATTTTCCGGAATATATCGGAACCAATCAAAATCCATGTCTCATACTGGAAACTCTGTTAAATCTTCGGTAGTCATGATAGCCAATCAGATTTGTCGATATAAATATACCTGCATGCTCGTATATCAAGGTAGTGAGTTTGGAAATCTTGATGAAAATCATGTTTCACCGCTACTGTGCTGCAGTAAAAGTTATCTTGAAGCAGTTTATAATTTTTGCGTCCTAGGGACGTAAGTTGATTTTGATTTTTACGTCCAACCTTCTGAAATTTCCGTAAAAATGGCAAAAAACGGCGTCAACGCGAACACTGCGACATGAAAGATTCTCAGATTGATTTGAGCTAATTGATTATCATAATTTTGTGTTTATTTTTACCCAACATCTTATGATTTAAGAAAATTGTATTTTTTTAAAAAAGTAGGAACTTCTGAGGTTATTAGAAAATTGGAAGACAAGGAAGGATTCTGGCTTTAAGATATTAGGGTTATAAATTGCAATGAAACTAAAACAAAACATTCTTTTTCTCAAATATCACAGTGTACGAGTATATTCAAATCACAAATACAATATCATACAATTACGATAAGGGTCTAGTGCACTTTCCATTATGATATCCCCATGAACAAAATGAATCATTTTTGGGTGTAACATAAAGAATACAATGTCACATAATACTGTGGAAAATATTTGAGCGTTTGGACCCACATGGGCTGAGGTTGAGGTCATTTAGTTCAGCAAGGGTGTATTGACTTGCCATTGAATGGGCTCCATTCACTTAACATGTGGATATCATCAATTCCAATAGAGGCCATTGGTTTCTATTGATTTTCACAAAAATACCTAAAATACACTATGACCTGAATCGATTGCAAATTAATTAATTTCACAGTATGACACAAATGGTATATCACATCAGATGTGCAAATATAAAGTTTGCAATCGATTCAGGTCATACTTCAAATTAAAAGATTATACATTTTTTCCCTACAAAGTGGCTATAGAAAAATGCTTCAAAAGCAACTTTTACACTAATGAAATCCCATACAACTTTGTAAATCAAAAGATTATACTGTTATGTTTCATTAATTAATAACATATTTCACCCTTGGTATACGCAGCTAGCGGACCGGTACAGGTTAACGGTTTTATTTGAATTTAAAAATATTACATGTAATATAGGATTATACAGCTTACCATACGTGTGCAATCTATATAGCATCCACACTGACTCAACCCAATAAGGCGAGTACTAAAGAATTTACTTACCTGCCATCTAAAAATCTGCTTGGAACTACCATTGGATTACCATGCCAAGAGAACCAAGAGAATATTCTAGGGATTATGGAATGCATTCAGCTTACATAATTTGAGAAATTATTGGCATACGTAAAACCTATTTAAAACAGCATTTATCGTATTCAAAAGCGTTGAGCATCAATGATTCCCAGCCCTCTGAAGTTTGAAAAATAAAAATACCTGGGTGTTAATCCATGGATTATCTTTGAAAACGAGAAATATATTTTTGGATTACATGGTGTAATCTTAAAGTAAACAAAATGTTTTAAAGTGTATTGATGTTTTTTGGATGAAAAACATAAGCGAAATTCATGAAAAAAATCCCCCGATTCATTCTACAAACAACTCGCCCCCCTTTTCAAAGTTGATAAACAATTTTCGAAACCATTTTTTTAGATGTATTTTTAAATGTAGATTTCAAATATGACATCACTTTGACTGAATTATGAATATTTAATGATGTAAATCAAGATCATTTCTACTCGCATCTAGTCTATTTGCATATAACACTAACAGAAAGGGAAAAGGTACAAAATCATAATAAGATCTTTTTAATTGTTTCTGTTTCAAAAAAAAGGCTTTAGCCAGACCTTTTTCAGAACTTAAAAGTCCTGGAAAATTTAACTGTAAAGATTGAACAAAGTTATTATTGGAGTTATAGTAGAACATAGTCTTTTAAAAGAGGGGGATTAACCCCAGAGTTCAAAGATGACATACGCTTATAATGTAAACCTGTATTGAGATGACGTACACCTCTGATTGGTCCAAAAACAAAAATGGCGGATTCAACATTTTCTAATAACGCTTCGAATAATATTATGTTGATTCCTGTTGATGGGTATTAACCATCATAGCTTGGTTTTTCACATCAAGATAAAGAAATATGTAAGGAATATGTTTACATTGATTAAAACATCAAGACGACGCCCTATGTTCGAAAATTAATTCGTGAGAATGTGCGCAAACAAAGGTGGTACGCAAGAGACGTATTATGTCAGTCATTGCTAAGGCTCTGGGGCTTCCCCCCTTGTCTTTTAATATCTCCGGCTCCCGAAAACAAGACTTAAATGGAATTTCAAAGCAATCAGTAAAGTGCCTCTATTTGTCCAGCTTTTTTATTGTCAAGTTCATTCAATCAATCAACACAAATTCCAGATAGCTTTCAATATTTTTAATCACAATACCCTTTCTTAACGGGACATGTATTAACAAAATAAGATAGTTTAACTAAAAGAGTTGCTGATAATGTTTAGTTACACAAACACTTAATTTGGCTGGATACACTTAATTTGGTGGATTGGCAGATTGATGAAATTCATGCAACGAATTAAAATTCCGCCAATTTTAAGTTCTATTTTGTCTGCCAGGAATGTTTGAGTAAAACTGTATTTATTTATTTTCAGATCAATGATGAAAGCTCAATCCTGAATCGAAACTCAAGCTGAATCCCCCATATAAAATAGCCGCCAATATTTGAAATTGAGAAAATCCAACAAATTAAGTTGAGGCAAATAAAGGGTATCCACAGTATTCCTGTAACTATGATATGACAGCATAAAATATTTCAAAGATCCAATCTGTATTTGGTTAGAGTTTGGTATAACATGCAAACATACATGTTATTTCAATTCAGTCACGCACTAAAATTCTGACCCCCCCCCCTTCTATCTTACATAGTAAGAGCTAGGGTAACAGGATCCACATGCAAGACATATTTCAACTCAACTAAATTAGTACAGTATGTTAGGAGTTTCTGTGTCCTTTACATTTCTTCAGTATGCTTGTACACTCCGCTCCAAAAAGTTGGCAACCCAAAGTGTTCAACTGATTGCATGTTTAAGTCTGATTATGCTTGAAACTATTTTGTTCCTTTACTACAATAGTTTGGAAATTTATGAAAAATTGATGATTTCTAAAATCCTAAATATAAACGAGCTTTAACAAATGATAAAGAAAGAGACTTCCAGTTGACAAACTTATAGAGGGGAGTGCAGTCTACATGTTGTCCTATATCAGGCAATTACATGTATATTAGACCCATGCCCAAGACACATATTGTTTTAAGGGAAGCCAAATATGTAGTAAGATTACTGTATACATGGTATATCATACATGTACATGGTTTAACCAACTGATGGCATCTTGTTCTGTTAAAACATATGGGCTCTCAGCTAATAATTACCATATTACAGAGTGACACACAAAAAAAACACATAATGCTGCATAACCGTCACCCACATAATGCTGAATAACTGTTTTGTCTGCATATCTGAATTGTCTATTGCACATTAAAACTAAATGCCATGGAGCAACTGCACAAGAAGTTTCAGATGACAACCTAAACTAGATGCACTTTTATGAGTGTTACAAAATGTGCTCTAAATGTCATCCATTCCTTTGCAGGCACAAATAGATTCTACAAAAAAACATGCCACCCACCTTTTGTAATATAACTTTGTAAATACTGATGATTTATGCTTTTACTTTAATAGAAAGAAAGTCCATTCAATTTAACACAAGGTGTTGTACAAAATTATGTTACAAATCATGGGAGGAATTTTTTGTGTAGAATTCGGGTGTGCTGAAAAGGAAATCACACATCTAGTAACACTCATAAAGGTGCATCTAGTTGAGTAAGTCATTTGAAACTTCTTGTCAAGTTGCTCCATAGAGCCTACTTTTAATGTGCCAAAGGAAAAGTCAGAAATCAAGCAGACAAAAAAGTTAAGCAACAGTATGTGGGTGAGTAGCATTTTTTCTGTGTCACAAAGTACATAGATTGACATTTTCCCAATTAATCAAATCCTGGTATATCCTGTTATCGAGCTCTCGACTAATTACTTGACATATTACCAGAGAATTGAGAGATATATAATACTGACCCAGTTCTTAGAGATTATAATGCATGATCGGTTTTGACAAATCAGAAACAGTTGCAGATGGGCATTTAGTCATGAACTTCAATCCCTGTCACATCTTTGGAATTACAATGTTCATATGTAATGTTAACTTCCAAATTCATCATTTTATCTCACCAATCTTTTGACTTACTAGATGTTATGTTCTCAATAACATAAAATATTTCTACAGACAGCCTTTCATAACATGTCTACGTCTCACTGTCTTCCATGCTTATTCGTAAGATTTGATCAGAAAGAAGTTTTGTTGTTTTATCTTTATGCATTTATTATTTTTCAATATTTTGGTACACTTAAATTCTTATAAGTTGCAAAAGATGCAAGTAGCATTGTTGACCACTCCAAACATTGATTTCACAAGTAATCAATATGGTGAGACCACACCCATGTGCAATAATACCAAAATTTGAAGAAACACCTTTTGTTCAGTTTCCGAGAGGAGATGCATATCGTAAATGTTCAGCTCCTTGATTATACTAATAGACAGAACATGTTACTTTCCAAAATGTGACATATTTAATGAAATGTTGGATCCTCTTCTGTTTGACGTTTTATGTATGACGTTTGACAGCCACTCATTCTTATGGTTAACTAAATATCATGTCCAATATATGTTTTACATACAGTGTAGGTTTGCATATATTGCTTGACAAAGTGTCCAAATAACAACAAAAGTCATCCAATAAGATAGATCAAGGTTAACATGATAAATGGAAGTCAACTGTTTGTCCATGATCAACTTCTGAGTGAACATTTGCTAGCTTAATCCCAGTTCATCTTCAACAGACAGATTCAGGGGGCAGTGGTGTTTTTTATGGATATGGGGTGTGGGGTTCAAACTTCTGGGTGTAAATGTTTGAAATCCCAGATATCTACTACAAGAAGATGGGGAGAGGTGTCCCTTATGGGTAAGGGTTTTATGATGAATGTGTGAATCCTCAGATATCATTCACGAGCAGATGAGGGGGGATGTTGTATTGATAGGGGATGGGGTCAAACTTCAGGCTGTAAATGTGCCAGTCCCCAGTCATCTTCTACTAGGGGGGTGTCCTGTATAGGAGGAGGACTGCCAATAGTGACAACATGTGGGAACTTAGGATGCCACCAATGAAGCACCTGGAATTAAAAGAATGCTAAGAATATAGTATACTTTAAAATGACAGGTTTACATCAACAATCGACATCTGACATTGCTACAGTGCTTAATAATACCTTCCTGGTGAGTAGCACTTTAAGATTCTATTTTATCTGCCTAGCATTAAAGCAAGTGGACACTGCACTTTTGAGATTTGAATAACAGGCTAGCACCTACCTACCTGAGAATATATTTCCACCTACTTATAAATGAGAAAAAATCTGAAAAATATGTATAGGCCTGGTCTAAATTATGAAAATAAAAATTTTGCAACCAGTTAAGAAAAGATCCTGGGGAGAACACTGCATCACAATTCACAAATGTTGAACTATTGCACGTCTTTTATTATTTATAAATGAAAAAAATCTACAATTAGCACCTGAGTGAGAATTTGAAAACAATGAAAAATTCCAATATTTGGAATAATTTGGTGGACTTAAACAATTTAGCAGATCTGCCAAATTAAATCAGCCGCCAAATTTTTAAGAAGATGTACAGTATATGTAATCTTTGAAAAAGACTGACACTTACCTTCATATCAATGACAGGATCAAGAACAGCAATGACGCCACTGTCGGACATTTCTTTAGCCATGTGAATACGCTGGGAGTGGAACAACAGCCTTACACGTTGATATCTCATATCACTGCTAACACTGACCAACATCTTATTCAATACCAACCCCATGCACACAGGTATTGATATAAAATTCTTTGCGGTTATTGCCAACACACAACAATCCTTTTCTACATTATCATAGACATCGTTAAAACTATCCAGCAGTTCCAGACGTCGTGTTTTCACTGGGCTGATATGTTGGAGTAAATTGCACTTTGAAATAGATTCCGAAGGAAGTTTGAATTTAAAGTAAAAGTTCCAGGAATTCCGGATTTTCTGGTGCCACATTAAAATACAACGGGATCCCTCGAGGAAGTAAGCCTCTTTTTCAAATGTTGTTGAGACTTTTGTGCGGTCCTGGAATGGTTTGTAGAGGTAGAAGAGAGATCTTATGACGCGAGATCGTAAACCATGACGTCTTTCCATACAGGCTAGGGTTAAGTCATTTGGAAGCTCTTTATCATGGTTGTAGTACCTGGAACAAAAGAATATTTATTCAAATCCACTTTTCAAAGGCTTATTTGTAACTAAACCTATCTGTCACACCCTATTTAATATTCATTTGAAATAACACATTTACATTGACATATAGTTTCTATCTATAAGTAACTTGATGCATTTGTTACACCCTATAGGACCATTTCCATGTGGATAAAGCAACAGACAAGAAATGGTGACAAAATCAAATAAAAATAGTACCACAATATCAGTGAATTTCATGCAGAAAAAGTACCATTCTTTGGAAATAATCGGAAAGGAAACTCGTCAATTCTTTTTCATTTCACTTCAAATCTGTTTGGCTTTCAAATTCAAATCTTTCAAACATTTCAAATCTAATCATGACTTACATTAGTATACCAAGTTATAAGACAAATTACTCCCAGAATTAATGAAACCTCACAGTTGGTTCAACACATTGTCACTTTTTGCCCATTATATGGAAATAGTCTGATCTATTCATAAAGGGTGGTGTTACTTATAAGCTGTACTGTCTGGCAGAGACGTACCTGGGATATAGTCTTTTCCACTAAACATTGTGGGGTGATCTACAGTCAAGAGACCTACCTGAGATATAGTCTATTCCAGTAACCTGCTGTATGTGTTACATAGTGTGATGATGTACAGAGTCTGGCGAAGAGGCCTACATCCTCTGGTCTGATGTATTGAGCTAGTATGAACCAGAGGTCAAGAGGATACACTCTTCCTTCTGTATAATCTTCAGGGCCTTCATTGGGAGACACTGTAATTAAAAAATATCACAAAAATCAAAAGACAAATACAAAAAATGGTGCAACCTAAAACTGGAATATTTTACGAAAACATGTACATCCAAATCATGCACATTACATCAACTATCTGTTTATTTACTACTGAGGTCACATTTTAAGTCAAGGTTTGATTTCGGTCAAGATTTGATTTAGGTCAAGGTCATCGAACCATGGCAGTACAAGGGTCAATCCAGAAGTACAAGGGGAGATCCAGATATTTAGATGCTGGTTACAAATATTTTTGAAGTTGTGGTTGCACTGACAAGAGCATGACACAAGACACAAGACACTTTAAGCTTTCAGTTCACCTACGTAAAGCAATGCGTAAAAAGCGACCAAACAGAGCCATGGATTCAATCAGATTTGACTTGGACAACTCATCATGTCACAAATCTGGGATGGTCTACAATATTATCAGCAACAAGTTAAATATAGTGGTATTAGGATAGATTGTATTTATAGGACATTCTCCATACTCCCAAGATAATGCTCCCCTGGACTTTGTTGTCTTTGGACCAGCCCTTAGGAGGGGTCTGAATGTCTCATATTTTATAACATTTGTTGAAATCAAGAAAGCTGTCAACACCTCACTAGGAATGCAAAGATGTGCACAAATAGTGGGTGGATAGATACGAGTGTATTAATGCAGAAGATTTTTGAGCTTTATCTCAGATGGGATTGCACAGTCGGATTTAGTTTTTCAGATTTTCAATAAAAGTTATGAAGTCAATATAAGCTCAAGTCCTGGACCAAATTCCCTTGTCATGGGGTAGGAAAAAGTGATTACAGAAAGTTCCGTCAATCAATCGTTCTGAAAAGTATCTGCTGTAGCCTGTATAGGCATATAAATTATATTCATAGTGTAAAAATGTCAATTGATTATCTATTCTTTACTTAAGAAAAGGCGATTTTATCAGAACTTCTGGGTAGGCCTTTGTAAAACTGCATTGGAACACTTACTTGGACTAGAAATAAATAACTGTATATCTGATGGCATATATTCAATATCAAAGTCGTCCAAATCCTTCTCATCCCATGCTAAATCTGCATCATGTGCTGCACCGTCTTCAGTGGTCATCTTCTTTGCTGAAATTTAAGGCGAACTACATCATGCAAACCCAAATGAGATCTTAGGATTTTTCCATATTACAATACAATAGAAGAAATGAAGCACATTTTGGGGGAATTTTGTGTCATCAATCATATGATTGTTTAAACTGTTCAACCATAATCATAAGTAAGTTCATATTTCAATGGGTTGATGTAAAATTCTTCACAATTCTTTTAAATGAAGAACTTTTGAGTGCATATTTTGAATCTTCATTGCCTTTCACTCAAATTCTTCAAAAAATCAATGTTCTTCAACTAACTAACTGTCATGCTATACCCCTTAATAAATTTATTCTTACACAAGTGTTGATACTTGGACACCATCCCTTAAGGTTCAGCTGGAAAGTAACATTATGGTAAAAAAATGCTATACCTGCACATGTTATTTTCTGGTACAAAATAAAGTATGAAGGCATGTGTCAATTTCCTTGCTTTTTTCAGGAAAGTATCATTACACTGTCTACTTTTAGTAAACCTGGAAACAGGTCAATGGTAGCTCCTGGGTTGTCTGGAAACTTTGAAAGAAAATTTGGAAAAATAGAAAGTGTGAAATATCAGAGTCTCCTGGAGTTCACATTGAAATCCTACCAGCCAAAATGTTATTTTCCAGCTGTACCTTAACTTAATGTAAAATACTTGTACATGGTGCCTACCTTCCTTGTTGAAACTGTTGATGGTAGATTTCTTCAATCTGCAAGTTTTCACCAGGCTAGGCTCAGTGTGGGCAAAGTCATACACAGTCACATCTGAAAGTAAAAATCTAATGAACTAGAAAAACAGCAACTCCACGGAGTAGCAAATCCCACCGAACAAAACATGTTTTGATAAATAGCGGCAATATAAAACTTGATCCAAATCCATCCACTGGTATTTGAATTATCAAAGATTATGTTTTTATGAAACATGGTTGCCATTTTGAAATTCAGCTGTCATCTTTAGATTTCTTCTTAAAGTGTGCGCCTGACCCGGCTACGTATAGCACAGAGTTTATACTGGCGGATTAGACTAGTTCATTTTTTATATGTGTGTGAAAGCTTTCTCTTATTTGCGTTTTTTCGTTTAGTACGGTTTTGTTATAATTGCCGAGGTCATATAACCGGGATAAAACAATGATTATCGTTGACTGCCCACACACAAAACATACGTTGAGTGAACAGTGTTATTACAAACAACAGGCTTTAGAATACAAAGCGTAGTGTGATAATAAGCTGCACACTACCACTGCTGCATGTACATATTACTAATTTACTAGGGCTCCCAAAGAGTGGATAGGGAGGTTTAAATTTTACATTTCAAAATTGTCATTTTACATGTCATAATTTGTTGGTTTCATTCGTTTAGCCAATCAAAACATTGTAAAACAATAAATTGTCTGTTACGTACAATCAATTTTGTTCAGTTTTGATTAGTTATCAGAATGAAGTTACGTTCATCTGAATCCATGTTTCAAAACAAAAATCCTATTTTCACTTCAAAATACTTCAGTGAGATGAAGGCTCGGAATTGTCACATGCAATAACTTATTGTCGTATTCGTTATTTTATCTTCTCGATAGTAGCATTTATATAGTCGCACATTTGATGCCAGGTCACCTTGTCGCGTACCTCTTGGGGAACCCAGCATTTATGTGTGTACTCATGGAAGTAAATTCACCGGTGTAGCCGAGAGCCACAAACTTTTCAACAGGTTCGAAATGACCAATTTCTCTCATATATACTCTAAATATTTTACTATTTAGCACCTACAAAGTATTGCTAATAACCATATGTAATTTCAATAAGGAAACTTATCTGGCTACATATAAATTCAATGTCCACACTGGCTGTTCTCTCAACACGTCCTGGCTTACCTTGTGGTGACAAACCCTGGATTTTCGCTATTTATAGTTTATCAACACCTGGACGCATGCGCATTTTATACTTTATCGGGCACTTTAAGCAAAGCTCCTATGTCCCAAGGCATCAGCACATAGAATTTAATCCAAATCAGTCTACTGGTACTTGATTCATTTAGATTACATGTTTAATGAAAAATGGCGGAGATTTCGATAAATAGCAGCCATCTTGAAAATTTCTTCTCGAACAGAAATCCTTTATCTCTAGGCATCAGTATATAAAAGGACAAGGTGCAATTATTGGCAAATATCCCTATGGTCAAAATGAATCATTCGTAGGTGTAACATGAAGAATAAAATGTCATATAATACTTTGGAAAATATTAAAGTGCTCGGACACACATAAGCTGAGATAGGGATCATTTCGTTCAGTAAGGTTGTATTGACTTACATGGGGCTGTGCACCATTGACTTAACATGAGGATATCAGCAGATCCCAATAGAGGCCATTGGTTTCCATTGATTATCACAGAAATACCAAAAATACACTATGACCTGAATCGATTGGAAACTTAATAATTTCACAATACGACACAAATGGTTTATCTCATCAAATGTGCAAATATAAAGTTTGCAATCGATCCAGGTCATACTTAAAATTAAAAGATTTTACATTTTTCATCATTTTTTGCCTACAAAATGGCTATAGAAAAATGCTCCAAAAACAACTTTTACACTTATCAAATATCATACAAGTTTGTAAAACCAAAGATTATACTATTATATTTCATTATGTAGTAACATATTTGGATAAAATGCAGGGATGCGTAGGATGTAAATGGATTTTGACAGACACAAAAATACTTCCTGATTTGGAATCTATGCCTCTACACTTCATGATTGAATTATGACCCTAATAAGTGGCCTATACATCAATACAGTGCTGAATATAGGTCAACAAGATACTAGTGTGCATATAAATGTAATAATTGAAGCAGAATACTCATTTTGAAAAATCAGATGAATTATTGTTTTCCCATGGGGAGATCCCAATGGAGGGTGTATTAAAAGGTCCTTTGAAGTAAATCCATCCAATGGTATTTGAGTTATCAAAGATTACCTTTTTTTATGAAAAATGTCAGCCATTTTGAAATTCAGGTGATGCCTTTGAAATTTCTTCTAAAGCAGATTTCCTTTTTCCCGAAACATCAGCATGTTAAGTTGGAACCAAATCCATTCACTGGTATTTGAGTTGTCAATGACTATGTTTTCTAAGAAAAATGGCCGCCATTTGGAAATTCAGTGGCCATCTTGAAAATGTCTTCTTGAGCAGAACTTCTTTGTCTCTAGGCATCAGCATACAGAATTTGAACCAAATCCAACAGATCAACTGGTATCTGAATTATCAAAGGTTACGGTCTTTTATGAAAAATGGTGGACATTTTGAAATTTAGCTGCCATCTTCAAAAAAAACCTTCTCGAGCAGAGCTCCTATGTCCCTAGGCATCAGCATATAAAATTTGAACCAAATCCATTGAATGGTATTGGAGTCATCAAAGATAACGTTTTTTTTTATGAAAAATATCTTGAAAATGTCTTCTTGGGCAAGACTCTTTTGTACCAAGGCAACAGCATATAAAATTTGAACCAAATCCATCCACTAGTATTTGAGTTATCAAAGATTATATTTTTTCTGAAAAATGGCCACCATTTTTAATTTAGTGGCAATATTGAAAATTCCTTCTCGAGCGGTGGTCCTACACCCATAAGACATAAGCCTATAAAATTTGAATGAAATCCGTCAACTTGTATTTGAGTTATTGCCCGGACACACGAACGGACGGACGGCTTTTCTATATCCCCCTCAAACTTTGTTCGGTGGGATAATGAAGTTTATTGGTAAACAGGGTGTCTCGAAAGTATGGGACCCCCTTAGGCAGACATATTATGTCTTCTTAATATGTGGTGTTACGTTCGAAAATAACAGAAAGTAAAAACAGCAATTAAAATATGATTACAATATATTTATATTTTGAAAACTAAATTATATAACAATAATATAAAGGAGGTTTAATACTTAAGTGATGTCCAATCAATGATACCGCTTATTCTTGATGTCGATAAATATCCTTGACGATCCTTGAGAATGTTCCAGATCACGAAAGTTTCAATAATCGTTAATAGTTCTCCAATGTTTGTTATAATCCAATAATGTTTGTCGTAATCCTATAATGTTCGTATCCAATAATGTTTGATGATAATCCACAAATGTTTGATGATAATCCACAAATGTTTGATAATCCGTATATAGTGTGTGTTATAATATATGTCCATATAAAGTCCTCAGGTTGTGTGTTTGTAGTGTTATAAATGTTCCCACAGTAGGTGTCTGTAATATTCCGCTAAGAAGATGTCCTTTTGATAAACTTTGAAATTCTGCTTTATTTAGTTCCTTTGAGATGTCCAGTTATGATTACTTAATTATCTGCTAATGAGAGCCACTGTGCTGTTCTTTTTATAATGTGAAAGAATGATCCAGAAACGAATCTTCTGGAACTACATCTTGATTGGACATCTTTAGTGACATGATTAAATTTTAATGAATGGTTATAATTTCTAGAACTATCTGGATGGTCAAGGGTTAATGAGTCATTCAGTTCAGTTTTGTTTACAAGATACAGTGTATAATGTCATTGTGACCTTGACCTAAGATCTCTAATGAAGAATAGCTCAACATGTACAGCAAGCATAGATTACAAATTAAAAAACTATAGGTGAATATAGTAGAATATAATAGACATGTAGCTCACTACTGTAACACCTCCCTCCTTAAAAGAAAAGTTTTGAATGCAATGAAAAACTTTTACAATAATATCTTGAGTAACAAGCGTTACAATTTTTAAAAGTGAGGTTGAGACTTACATAATATTTGTTTACAATAGTCTTTTTATGTGCAGTATGTTTACAAGTATATAATACTTTCTATCGTTACAGTGTGAGTACAATCTAATCCCATACTACAATAATATCTACATAAGTTATGCATCAAGTCATAAATACAATACATGCAATAGATCATATAACATGTACAATAGCATACATTTTTGAGTCTGACAAACACTAAACTTTCACAATGTTTTAAATTATCACATGATCTTATGTAAGTATTTCTAATTGTACACTCTGATGTTATCAAGTAATCTTGTGACACTATTTAATGATCACCTATAATGCTCACATAATTTTAATACAATCTTATAGTTCATATAATATCAATTTCACTGTTTAGTCAAATATTTTCATATATGTTAAAATAAAGTGACAGTTATCACAAATCTCTAATTTGCCTACCATATAATATAATCTTCATGAGTTAATCATTATAATTTACTTTATCTGACTCTTGAATAACATACATGTATAGCTGTCATTGACATACAAATTTGGCCTATGAGCTAAGAGCACAAGCTCATGTTGAGTAAAGAAATTTTATCACGCTCAACATACCTTTTCATCATGTGTAGCTCTCTACACCTCACAGGGGTAGTTTTATCAATGCCAATGAAATCATTCAGCACTGAGTCAGATTGTAAGTCAGATATAAGCTCCTTTGGTAGCCCAACTAATGTGAAATTGTTGATTTGTGATTTCACAATATACTTGGTTTTGCTATTTCTAAGCATGAGGAGTGATTTTATTGTTGAAAACTGTGTGATCATAGATAGAATAGTGAGCAGATATTGACTATCAGATTTTGTTTTTGGTAATGGACCAACACAGTCAATAAGAACCTTACTGAATGGTTCATCAAATGCAGGTATAAGTTGTAAAGGAGCAATTGAGGTTTTCTGGTTAGGTTTCCCTACCATTTGACATGTATGACAAGACCTACAATACTCTTGGACATCTTGT